GGGCGGCAGGACCCGCGGGCGCGCAGGCCGCAGCCACACCCCGCGCGAGGCACCGGGAGTGGAATCGGTGTCGATACATACACGCAGGACCCACGCCTGCACACGCACACCGGGCGGATCTCGTCTCCGGGTTAATTTTAAATAAAGATCCTAAAGTCAGAACCGGAATCTCACATCCCTGCTTATTTCAAATCATAATGAAATTAAAACGCATGAAGCCGGCTGGCGATGCCCTAGATTGTCTGATCCTACAAAAGACATTAACAGAGGCTCTAAAAATCTAATTAAATTTTAGAGTGCTGGTAATGTCGCCATAAGGCCCATGTAAGCTATTATCTACATTAATAAAAATTAAATTCAGTCTCTATCCCTATCTGGATAATAATGTACCTAGTTTCAAGGTCATCCTTATTTCCTTACTTAAGGATATTTCCTCTCCATCCTCATAAATAAAATTGATTAATCGTGAAGGGGAAACTCAAGGCCTTCTCCAGCCTCCCCGTTGTCTGAGGCCACCTCAGAGGCGCTGCAGCCCGGGGGGGGCTGAGGCCGGCGCACCCCTCCCCCTGCGGCAGAGCGGGAGCCGGTCCGGGCGCAGGACACCATCGCCCGCGGTCACTCTCCCAGCAGGCCCCGGCTGAGGCGCCCGCCGCGGGAAGCCCCGGGGTGCCCAGGCACGCTGACGCCGGGGAGGGGTCAGGGGCGGCGTGGCCTGCGGGGGTCCTGGAGACAGGAGCGTCTGCGCCTGCATGTCCCCATCTGGAGGCCCCGAGCCCCCGCTCCGAGCTCCTGCTCCGGAATCTGTGGGCTGCAGACCCCAACGAGGGGCCGAAGATCGCATGGCCACAGCGCAAGGCCGGGCGCGACGCCCAGAGCGACCGGCCACTCCCGCAGTGAGGCCACGGGGCCGCGCCAACCCGCCCGGTCAGGTGAGAGAGGCGTAGGCCGCGGGCGGCGGACACGGTCACCGGAAGGAAGGAAAGTGGCGCCCCAGGCCTGCGAAAACGAGGCGCGTTCTCCGGGCTCGCGACTCGGGGACGCTACCGAGGCGACAGCAGAGAAGTCGCCTCCTGGGCTGTTTCCCGGCTGCGCCGAGCCCGCCGCAGCGCCGAGGGCAGCAGGTGTCTGCAGGCCGCGCCCGCCCTG